TGTATTTGACAGACAGGCGTGTCATGAGCTTTGGTACTCATTCAAATCCTACTGTGGTCAGCATGACCTATGACACTGAGGTCTTCATCTGTCCACTGACCAAACCTCTGAGATCTACTCTGTTATATTCTAGAATTACTTGATATTACAGTGCTAACAGCCAAGTCCATTGGAATCCTAGCTCCATTTTTAAAATCTCCTTGTCCATGGACAAGTAACTTGACCTTCTGATCCTTATTTTCATTATAATAAAGTGACATTGTTACAGCATTTGCTGCACGAAGTTTTTTCATAAAATTAAGTGAAAAACTTTGTATCAAACAGATAATGACTTGCACTTAAAAGTATCTGTGATTGTTGAGGATGTCTGCCTGCTAGCAAAGGATCAGTAACCTTTACAGAGTGAATAAAGAAAAAGGAAAATAATTTGGAAGAAAAAAAATTTTGACTAAAAATGGTTAAGGCATTTTATTTTCCAAAATTTGCTGATTAGAAAAGAACAGACCCAAAACTCCTAAGAAAGGAAGTCTCATAAATTTGATCACTGTAAATCTACCTTTCATTGCACTTTAGGGTTATATTTTGGTGATTGGGAAATGAAGGACACAGCGTTAAACTTACAAAACCCACAAAGAAGTCGTTTAGGAAATGTACTGACCTCATAGAATCCTGAGCATATTTTTAGGTCCATTGGCTATTCAAATCTGTGCCCATGCCTGCCTCCACTGCGAGTATGAAACACATCATGGAGATACCATTTAAAGAACAATGTGTCAGCAAGTGGAAATCAATAGCCTGTACAATGAATCCCCAAGTGCTGAGGGAGGAGATCCTTTGGAAAGTTCTTCAAATAAATTAGTTAGACTAAAAGGGTAGCAGTGGTATACCTGAGGAAAGGCAAAAACTACACAGCTCAATCTCAAACCACTTAAGGTGAGACCAGAAGCAAAAGAAACAGCTGGGTGTCTGGGTATGTGCCAGCACTTAAAAAATCCATGGCAAGTTGAATTAAATAAGTGCAGTATGGTACCAGGGAAAATTCAAATCCTTCAGCTGTATTTCATATGCACATTTCCCATGAGCTTTTGAAGACCACCAATATGTTTGAATGTATTCTCTGTTTTTCAAATTTTACCTTGGTATTATTTAAATCATGAGAAAATATGTGTGTGTAAGGTTTTACTTATGTTAGTTTGAAAGGTAGAGTTACAGAGTGAAGGAGAGACAGAAAGAGATCTTCTGACTGCTGGTACACTCCCCAGAGAACCACGGGGTTTGAAACTGAGCCGACATAAAGCAAGGAGCTTCTTTCCAAGTTTCTCACATGGGTATAGGGACTTGAGCAATCCTCTGATGCTTTCTTGGGGCTTGGGTCATCCTCTATTGTTTTCCCAGGCCACAAACAGGGAGCTGGTTGAGAACTGCAGTGATTGGGATAGGAATCAGCACCCACATGGGATCCCCACACATGCAAGGCAAGGATTTAGCCACTGAGCCATTGTGCTGGGCCCAAGATTCACATTTTAAAAAGGCTTATTCTCAGACTACTTATTCTAGTAATAAGCAGAGGCCAAAAAAAAAATATATATATATATTTATATATAAAAACAGAGAAATATTAAATCATCTGGAGATCATCTACATTTTAGAAAAAATCGCTTTCCAAGAGAACTGTAATAATCATCCTTAACTTTTGTCTTTTTAAATTATTTTCTCAATCAATAATTATCTGGACAGAGACTAGTGGAAAATTATTTTAAGCACATTTTTTCATGATGAAATCTGCTTTGGGGATATCCTTTCACATCTTTCTCGTGGAATTAGCCAAACACTTCATGGACTTCTTTTTATGACAATACATTCATTTAATTATTTATATGTATACATGTACATATGTGTTTGCATCTTTTTTTAGTGTCTTCTAAAGATTTATTTATTTTTACTGGAAAGTCAGATTTACAGAGAGAAGGAGAGACAGAGAGAAAGATGTTCCATTTATTGATTCATTCCCCAAGTGGCCACAATGGCCAGAATTGAGCTGATTCAAAGTCAAGAGCCAGGAGCTTCTTCTGGGTCTTCCAGCCAGGTGCAGAGTCCCAAGGCTTTTGGCCATACTTAACTGCTTTCCCAGGCAACAAGCAGAGAGGTGGATGGGAAGTGAAGAAGCAGGGCACAAACCGGTGTCCATGCTGTCCATATGGGATCCTGGTGCCTGCAAGGTGAATACTTTAGCCACTAGGCTACCTAGCTGCACTCTTGTGTATAATTTTTGAGGAAACAAATGTAACAATAACACAAAAGGAAACTTGTAATGCAGTTTGTATTTGCCTAGTCCTTCCTACCCCCAAGAACAGTTAATTTGGTTGTGATATACACCACACAAGGATGTAATTTATTCTATGAACAGCAGTTTTGTTAAATAGTAGAAATGTTAATAAAACATTAAAACCTAATTGACTGGATTTCCAGAGCTATTTTAACTCAGATAAATTAGTTCATGTAAGGCATACAAGTCATTCAAAACCATGAACTCAGTAGAAACCTCACATATTTCATCTGTGTAAATTGAAACCAATATTATAGATTTCACTTGGTTTAAAGTATTGTACTCACTTGACAAATTCTGTACAATTCCCTGCTCTGATCACATAGCTTTATCAGTTATAAAACAAGGATAATTATTATGGCTTGATCCAATGTTCCTGAATAGAATGCATGATAATCTTTTCATGGGGAAAGTGTTTCTTAAATTTTGTACCTGCAGCACTTAAGCCTATGCTAGTACAAGAAATGGGCCCATATACAACTTGTAGAATGAATAAATGGGTTAAAAATAAATCAATAGTCAATAGAAAATCAATACTGAAAAACAAAATACAAAAAAATTAATGCCCTTCTGAGAAGAGCCCAATTGCAAAATTTCCTTGTGAAAGAAAACCATTTTATAAAACATACAGGCATTGTGACTTATTTTCCCTTTTTGCTAAGATTACAGAAGCAACATGTGTGAATTGGCACTAGGTCACTGTTGGACACTTCCAAAGCCATCAGCTTTCAAAAATTCCTCCATTCAAAGCCAGTTTTGTAGCTTTGTTATTATGTTCATAAACATTTCTTTGTCAACCGTTCCCCCTATATGTGGCTTCTTCCAATACACAACATTGTCCTCAAGGAAATAGAAAAGCATTAAAACTCATGGAAACAGTTTTGTTCTACAAAACAATTGATTTAATGATTTTTTAGAATAAACTCAAAATAAGTAGAAACATTTTTGGCATGCATACCATAATTTGAATATAGAAGTTGCTTAAAGTGTTGAGTCATTAAAAAACAGAGCTTGGATCAACACATTTGAAGTTGTTAGCCTTGTGTAGAGGCAGTTTTCTGGCCTATCAATTAAGATAGCTGACTCTTATGGAAGAGTACATGGTTCAGTTTTGGCTCTAACTCATGACTCTAGCTTGCCACAAAATAGCAATGACGGCTCAATTAATTGAGTTCTTGCCATCCATGTGGGTGATTCTGATTGTCTTCTTAACCCATGGCTGTTTTCAACATTTGGAGAATGAACCAGTAGATTTTCATTCTTTCTCTCTCTTATAAATTTTAAAAAGTAACAGAAAAAAAAGCTGTGTAAGTATGTGAGAATTTCTGCAAGTCTGGTACTTATTGGTGCAAGTCTGGTACGTATTTGTGTCGCTAAAATTTAGCATCAGCATCTTGTTTTAAATTGAAGCATGTATATTTAGGATCAAGACATGAATCTCTCTCTTTAGGATTTATTATGAAATGTTGCATGCTATTACAAAAAAGGTGCTTGCATTCCACCTCTGGCCATCTGTCCTGCTTACTGAAATGGTACAATGACATCATGGTGCCTTTTAGTGGAGTCTCCAAAACCTCTTGGGATATGTCAGTCTCTAATCCTAGGTGCATGTGTGTTTGCCATTTTGTGACTTGTTAAAATATTTTTTTGTATCTATGCCCATGAATCTGCAAAACGTATTCATTCATATGTGTCTCCCTAAGGACTAGTAATAATTTCTTAGCTCTTTCTTACACTGTATTACTTAGAAAAATAATCTTACGGTTACTGCAGGAAAAATAATCTAGTGTTTATTAGAAATTACACTGGTAATACTACTAAGAAATTCTGTTTATTACTATCTTTCTGGCCAAATTTCTATTCAACATAGTTGCTTGTGTGGGAATCAGTGCAGTGAAAGTTGTTGCTTTTGCATAGTTTTTAGTGTAACTGAAAGTCAAAAATGCTAATGAAATTTAAATATCATATTGACTCATAGAAATGTAAGTAAACAGGTGAACTATTAAACAGATGGTAGATTGCCCCCAAATTAGTTACTCAATTATTTAACTAGTTATTGTTTGTGTATATGCCCTGGCCTTCACGTTTCATGTTTGTTACCACCTTACAATCCGTATCTTGATGTGATTGTGGCTGCTGATTTTACAGTCTTTCATAATGGTTCCCAAAGGTATTTATCACACAAAATCTTCTGCAGATAACTCATTTTGATATAGAAATGAGGATGTTGACCAGCCTGTCCAGACAGAAAGTCGTCCTTGGTTCACTCTAACATGATAAATTTGCGGTAGCAACTGATTAGTTTTATCTATTGCATCCCCCCTTCCCACCTAACTCCAATTTTAAAATAATACTTTGAGTTCTGTGAGAGGTTACCTACAAGCAGGAGAAGAGGGATATACTGTAATAAATGACATTTAATACCAACAGTGTTTATTTTAATGAGTTTAAGTAAATCAATAATAACATGATGAGAACTCATTCTGCCAAAGCATCTTCTGTAGGACATATTATTCCGTCTTCCAGGTTAATGTTATCAGCATTGTTAGAGGTGTTTATTGGTCCTGAAACATGACTTTATGAACCTCTATTGACTCAGTAATAATACCTCTTGCACCTAAGACTTGGCTCAGCATGTTTTAATTATAATGTGGAAATATATTATTTTTTGCAGGTTTCTTTCAAGCTATTGGCTTGTGGAACTCTGAGAGATGCTGCCAGCTATGATATGTTGGAATGATCGTGATCAGCTATCCAGTTTAGATTTCACCCAGTGGCCAAGATCTTTGCATAGCAGACAGCAAGGGTTGGATTTTGAAAAAGAGTAAACGAGGTAAGATTTGGGGAATATATCTGATCATGTATCACGTGCTCTATGAGCTTTAATGTACAGTCAACATGTATTGGACAATATATAGCTTATCTGTTTATTTCCTAAATCCATTGAACAGATTGTTAAAGAATTGGGTTCTGCAGGAACCAAGATCATGTGTACAGTATGAGTTAGTCCTTTTTCTCAAGAGGAAAGAGAAGCTACCGTAAGATACACATTGAGCAAGCATAAGAACACTGTAGATAATACGTCAGGGTAATTGCCTAAAATGTGCAAGCTGTTGATGGTTTCCTGCTTTAGTAACTACTGTGAAAGCTAATGAAATAAACAGTGATAGCTATGAAGCCGCAATGGGAAAGGAGTAGTCTCATAGCATTTATATTTATATGAATAATAGTTAATGAAATAAAATATGAAGCATACACTTTAATGTTGCTCCAATTTGGAAGATTATACTATTGTTTTGACTTTTATATATTTGTCAGTATTTATTCTAAGCTTTGTATGTTTCTATATATTGGCAAAATAGCATGCTCTGTAACTTTTGTGGCTCCAGCAATTTAAAATATTATACTTTTATTCATATAATCTTTATCTGCTTTTTAAATTTTATTCTAGATATACCTCTCAACTATTAGTTACAATTTTATCATTATTTCATTATAAAATTTTGTGAGTTTTTTGCTTTAATTCTTTTCTACCCTACAATACTATTTAAATTCTTTATCAAGAGTTACTTGAGAAGACTACAGTTATTTCTACCTTCTGAATTTAATATCACCAAATGTTTAAAGCATCTCTAAATTTAATACATCTCAAAGTAAGATTTTAAGTTCAATATGGAACACGTAAAATATAAGTAAAATCTATTAATAAAGAAAACAGTTGGGGGAAGATTATTCTACTTCAGTATGGTTTGAGCTCTTTAGACCTTTTTCTTCATTTTTTAAATGAAAATGAAGTATATGAAATAATCACTAAATGATAGTCTAACATGATTTTTTAATATAAATGAGGAGTTCCAAAACAGATTGAGTCCCTCAAACTTCTGTTACCAATTCCCTGGTGACCTACTTGAGTATCAGGTGATGGCATGCAAGTATAAAACCAGGAGAGCCATACATTTCAAATTTGTTAGAAATAGCATAGGTCATCAAATTGATGGTATAAATCTTTACTTGATAGTCTAAGCTGTTCAATAACTTCTTGTCCTGTTTAGTGGCACTGTGAGTTACCCACATTTAGAAGAATTCTTTCAGCCTGCAAATAAAAGGGACATCAGAAGGCAGGATGTATTTGGTTTAATGCTCATTCTGGTACTGTGTTTCATAGCACTAGGACCTAACAGAAAAATACATTAAAAATGTTTCATGGCAGTCATAGGTTTACACTTATGTGTCTCTACCTCTGAATCCAAATAAAGTTTATTTACTAATCTTAATTTCGATATTTTCAACACTTTTATGTTACACCTCTTAGAGTTATATAGAAGGATGATGAGAAATAAATAAGTGATAATATAATTAGTGATGATTTTTCTTGTCACAAAGAAAAATCTGTCCTCTTGTGAAACAAGTGTTTTCGTTCTTTGGATACTTAATCTTTCTGAAAATGTAAACCATCAATATGGGGAAGTAGACAATATGTAATTTTGATAAAAGCATTACAAAAATTTATGTTTACATAGTTCTTCCAGGTGAATCTTGTTAATTAATAGATATGGATGATATATTCCAGTTAGATACAGAAATAGGTGGTTTTTATAGATCTGGCAACTTGCATGTTTTCAAAGCCTAAAGCTACCTAATTTCAAATAACCACCAAATTTATACATTCAAGTTTACTAGTTTATATTACTTTTAAATTCATTTTTGCTCTATATTATATGATGGCCATTGCAGTTTTATGGTGATGTATGCTAGCATTTCTATAAAAACATTGTGAAGGCTCCCCATTCTCATTCTCAAAAACCTTACATCAGAGCTCAATATTTCCTATGTCTAAAAGGTATTTTATCTTGGGATTGGCATTGTATTATATCAGGTAAAAATAGCCGCCTATGACGTTGGTGTCCCATATGGGTGAAGTTTTATTTTCAGATGCCCCAGTCCCAATCTAGCTCCCAGCTTATGCACTTGACAAAGTAGCGAAATATGGCCCGAGTGCTTGTGACCCTGTGCCCAGATGGGAGATGCAGAAGAGCCTGCTGGCTTCTGCCTGCACCCTGGCCCAGACACAGTTATTACAGCCTTCTGGGGAGTGAAACAGCAGATTCAAAGACTTCTTTGTCTCTCTGTAACACTGATTTTTCAAGTAAATAAAGTAAATCTTTTAAAAAAAGAAAATAAAGATTTTGTCATTCTAAACACATTCCTGAAGAAAGACTTTGCCTCACTCATTTCCATATGATTACATGATCTTACTTGGGATGGGCTATGTGATCTTTGAGGTAGCTCATGGAAAACATCTAAGTAGCACCTTTCCGTGAAGTATTTCCTGTGCTCTTTGCAGCGAGTGATGAACTCTCACTTGTGCATCTTTTCTGTTCTCAGATCTTCTGAAGTGAAATCTTGAGAATTTAGTAGGATAGCTGATTTATCATAAAAAGACAACTGTGAATCATCAATGCTTTCTGGTTGTGTATTTGTTTTACTTTCATCCTACAAATATATATTTTTTTGAATATTACCACATGTATAACAGTTTAGGGCTAGAAACAAATTACCAGCCCTCTCCTGCTCTGTCCTTAAGTAGTTTATACCCACAGAAAAACTAAGCTATTTCCAAGAACACTGAAGTAAAACCTTATGTTTAAATTTATCTGTTTATTTGAAAGTAAGCTATATACAAGGACACACACACACACACTTTTGATCCACTGTTTGACTTCCCTGGGATGACTCCCATGAACAGAGCTGTGAAGGCCCCAATCCAGGAGCCAGGAGCTACTTTTGCGTCTGTCACGTGGGTATCAGAGGCCAAAATGCTTGGTTCCCTTGCACTGTTTTTCAGAAGTGGAGAAGCTAGGACACAAACTGACAACCAGATGGGCTGCCAGTGTCACAGGCAGCCTCTTTACCCATTACCCCATAATGCCAACCCAGAACTAGAATTTTCAGGGAAATGTTTCAAGTAAAGTTCTCCAGAAAATTAAAATGAAATGCTATTAAAATGTATCAGCACTGACCAATCTTTTTAAGGCTCAAGAGACATTTCAACTGTAAACTAAAAGTTGGAAAGAATCTTAATTGATTAGGACTAAGTATGAAGATACTTCAAGCACAGAGTACAATTTGGAAATATCAACATAGTACAGAAATAGATGTCATGTCTGAAGGATGGAAAGATTGAAACTTGGGTAAAAGGAGAGATGCAAGAAGTGCCAGGATGTAGAGCCATTATGGGGCTGTAGTATTTTCCATGCACAGCTTTGTTGCATGTTTGTTTCACATAAACATGGAAGTGATATAATCTGACTTCAGTTTTTAAAAATGACTCTGGAAAGGGTGTGGCAGAATCAAGGAAGGCGTTCTTAGGAAGAAGTTGAAAGTAGGAACATTTGTTTTCCTGAGAACAGAGAAGTTCTGATTTGCACTCTGCCATTGTCAGTGCCTTCAGCATCGCTGAGTCTGTTCTTCCCTGTTAAATGCTGACAAGCAGAGTATCTTTTAGTGCTTTCCACTACACTTTCACATTTATAAAATTTTGAGTTTTTTTTTTAATAAATGGTTTTTGAACCATTTCAAAATTGGGGTAGGAATAATTTAACAACTCTTTTTTTGCCTCTCTGTTTCTCACACACACACATTTACACATACCACACAAAATACCCTCTCTCTCTGTGCTTGAAATGCAAACTCAGATCATGTTCTTGAAATTGATGTTTCAATTAAGATGGGCAAAACTACTACCTCACTTTATTTCCCTTTGGGCTCTTTCATCTCTGCATCTTATTCCCTCCCTTTTTCATTATATCATCTCATCAATCACAGTGTTTCAGTTCTTGGGATCACGGCATGCATTGCATGCACATTTTTATGGCTAGAAAGCAAATATATCCTACTTGGCATGCATTGCTTACTCAAAACTAATTAAATAATTTTGCTGAAAGTATCATATCCTTTCTATGACAACATTAATTTGGTCACAATAGTAGGAAATCCTATAAGACTACACACACACACACACACACACACACACACACACACACACCACATGCACACACACATACCACACACCACACACACACACACACACACACACACACACACACACACACACACACCCCTTGGGAAGAAAGCCTAAAGAAAACAGAAAACAGAAAACATAAGCTACAGTCCAATCTTTAGATGCACTCCACTAGAAGCCAGGTCACTCTAATACTTCTAGTGGAATAAATCCCTATTTCAGTTAATCACTTATCACTAATTATTTTATTAAAAATCACTATTGCCATAAGGTATCCTAGCAGCTTTTCACAGTTGATATATTTTATATGGTTGGGTCATCTATATACAGTTAAAAATTTGTTCAGTTGGTGAAAATTCTGAATACTTCCTTCTAAATATGTGTACTTAGGCACATGAGGATATTTTTCCCTAAAATGCAATATTCTTGAGACCAAGATTTTTGTCACTCCTTGTTGGTCCTTGGCCAGAGCCCCACAGATACTCATTAACTGTCCTGTGACGGACTAAATGATTCTCTGAACTTGTGCTTAAAGGGAAAAGATTACAACTTATGGATTTTTTGACAGTAAGAAATGTATTTCTCCCTTTTTCATGGAACCAGTCAGAAATTGACCATTCTGTTCCATGCTTTATCCTCTTGGGATCATCATTGCTTTGTAACAGATATTTTTGAAATCATAGAATAATATGTAATAGCAATGAAGAAACATGGAGAATTTAATCTAAACTAAAGGAATGTGAGGAAAAAGAAAAATGCTTATTAAATATCTTGTTACCTTTATAAATATCTGCTTCAAATTTTTTTTTTTT